CACAAACACACACACATATATAGTGGCAGAGGGGCAGGGACGATTTCCTGGAAAAAGGAACATTTATCTAAATATTTATCTGAAGAAACAAGTAAGAGTTAGCTAGATAGATTGTGGAAGGGTGTTACAGGCAGGGGAACTGGTCTCAGAAAAAGAGAGAAGTTCATAGAAATGTCTTATAGAGTACAGGGTGCAGGGCACAAAGATTGGCAAGAGTTTGAGTGCGAGTGAGATAGTGGTTAGATAGCTGGATCATGTCCTAAGCCCTGTTAAGGGTATTTATTATGCTGCAGGTAAAAGGGAGTCTTGAAAGATTTAGGGAGGAGAGTGGCATGATCAGAGCTGTGGATTCCAAGCATTATTCTGACTGTTGTGTATAAGATCAGGCCAGAAAGACAGATCTGTAACTCACTATTACCCACCTTCAAATAAATTACTTCTTCCCAACAGCAAAATAGGAAACAAAGAGGAATTGTGTAATCCTTTTATCTGTGATATGGTTTATTACTACTTTCAGAAATTTTAGGGAGTGGTATGCCTCAAGCAGCTCCCCAGGGTATTCCTTGTTGTGATGTCTCTCATTCTAGATTTTAAAGTATGGTTAGTAGCTGCATGTTATCTAAAAGTTAAAAGTTAAACAAACAAACAAAAACCTCACTGCCTTCAAGACAATTTGACTCATAGCGACCCTCCTTGGGTTTCTGAGGCAGTATTTCTACAGAAGTAGATTGCCCACTCTTCCTTCCAAGGAGTGGCTGGCGGGTTTGAACCACCAGCCTTCTGATTAGCAGTCAAATGCCCGAGGCGCTACACTACCATGTTGTTGTTGTTGTTGTTGTTATGTGTCATCGAGTCAGACCCAACTCATAGAGACCCCTCCTTGGGTTTCTGATGCCGTATCACTATGGAAGTAGATTGCCCAACCTTCCTTCCAAGGAGTGGCTGGTGGGTTTGAACCGACAGCCTTCTGGTTAGCAGTCAAGTGCCTTAGGCACTATACTACCAGAGCTCCTCTACACTACCATACAGTTCTTTAAAAATTCCCTGAGCTTGCTAATTCACAGTAAGATACCTCTGGCTTAAATCCTCTAGCACCAACATTATTTTCAGGGCAGAATGTCCCCATTAATTTTATTTTAATTGTTATATGGGAGATCATTAGCCTAACATACTGTGTTCATCACAGTTTTCTAAAAAATGTGGTTCTCATTCTCCATCTTACCTGGCCCAGATTTCCAATTAACACCAGCTCTTTTCTTTTTAATTTTAATGAACCCAAATAAACCCCAACTTTGGCAAATTCCATTTGAAGTGTTAAGATTCAGTCAATCAGCCATTCTACAAACAGCAAATACTCATTGAACACTTGTTTTATATCAAAAGAATAAACCCTGCACATCCATCCCTTTCCCTAAAGAGTTTACGCTCTAGTGCTACTGAGATATTTTAAATACATAATAATAAAATAAATACATATTCCCCATTAGTAGTGAGTTCTACAAAGAACAGGGTGCAATGAGATTACAGTACAGACGGACATGACTTCATTCCTGAGGAATGGAGTCCACTTATTCATGGCCATGGGATTAATTATATATGATAGAAAACAAAGGACATCATTACAAAATCATAATTGGTGGCAGGTCAATTTATTGTTTTCACAGGCAGGACTACAGAAGCAG